ATGTAACGAAAGTAGCTCACCAAGTAGTGATAATTCCATGATGACAAAGCAGGGCAACATGAAACATGCCACGTAGTAATGAGGTCTGAAAATATAAACTGAATAATTGAGAGGCAGCCCCGAACTTGTTGTCCCCTCTGGTCCCTGTATAAAAGCACTCCACCGCTGATCGGATGAACGAATCAGCAGCGGAGATTCACAACCATAACGCTCTCCCCATTGATTCGCCCTCTCCATGGAATAAGGGCTTCTCTGTCCCCGCCCATCCCATTATCACGGAATGTACTTCATATGTCTTCGGCTATAAAATCCGAGCTCACCTCCGTTTGATCACGATGTCGTAATAAGCACGAGAAGTAGGCTGCGACATTATTGCAGGATAAGAGCCGCGACCAGTACGAGCGTTGTACGAGATAAGATCCCATTCTAAGAATCAAATTAGACTGTGATTCTGACGTACTGAAGCTGAACTAGCAAACGACTCAGGAATTCACCGTTACTTGGTTTGTAATGATTAACATCTGGTTCCGGATGAACTTCGATAACAACCTCCAAATGCGAAGAATGCCATGGCTCGTAGTGGACCGTGCAATTTTGGCGATCGAAAGGGAACCTTTGAATGTTGTGTTGTGGTCATTATGAGTGAGAGTGAACTCGAAGACACAATGCACGATAACAATGAGACTTATAAAGTTATGGTTCTAGGACAGCCCATGATAAATGTAAAGTGATGTGTGAAAAAAAAGCAGATAAGCCGTCGAAAACGTCCCATCTACGACCCCCGCTAACCCTGTATCATACGAGTTTGCCGGTGCTCAGACGAGTTACATACCTAGCTGCTGGCTTCACGCTACTAGTTCGATTGCGACCAGCTCTTTGTTCCTCCCAAAGCATATGAAGTGGTCCCCCTTCTGTAATTTTGTTCCTCGTCTTATTTTTCTTGCACCTTTCTTTTCCAGTGGCTGCACAAAAAATATGGTGTGGGCTGCAATGACTTAGCACCGTAATGGCGCCGTCGGTTTTTGCGCAAAGACTGCAGCTAACACACAAGGAGCGAAATTTCGCGGTGACCTTCACCAGTAACATGTCAATGCGTGAGCTGCTCTTTTTGATAATCTTTTCCATCGTTACTGTATGCCACGGGATGTACTCAGGCTGCGCTTGTTTTTCGAACGAAATGAAATTACTGAAAACTCACATTGTAATTTTGAAGCCGCAGAACACTCGCACAACATGAGCTACTGAATGACGAATGAAGCCGGTGTGATCAACTAGGACGAAGCTTCGATCGTCTGGCATCGCCTGGGATTGATCCAGCCTGTTGCAGAGAAGATTACACTAAAAGAGTTGAAATTCTAACATAGCCAGCGATCCGGACTTACAAATCGATTCGAGTTATGTCTGGTAACCAGATGAGACTTCGAGGTACTTGAATTTCAGTGATATTGTCGTAATCGGCCGGATTCCATACGAGAAACTCATCATGCCAAAACATTCTGTGCCATTCCTTCAGCACAATCACTTGGTTCACTTCATCCTGCAATCCGCGTTACCCGTCAATAAACTGTTTAAAAAGAAAAAGTAAAGGGCTGAGGAACCAGACTTCGTGTTACCGGGAACGATTCATCCAGTCCCTGGTCAGTCAAACGATAAGGATAAAAAGCTAAACAATCTGCGCATGAGACGAAAGGCTTTGAACAAGCTACTGCCTCATTTGCACCTTTCCCGCTCAGTTACTAGTAGGGCTTGTGTTCAGAAAAATAGAGGCCTTTTCCTGAAATCTGAAACTTGTGGTCGGTGGGTTCGAGAAAGAAATTCCAATTTGTGGATAAAAATTGATTTACCAGGAGGCAGAAGAATCTGTCTAAAACGTCCTGAAAAGAGCCTCACCCATTTGGAGATGACTGTGACTACTGAGCGAGCATGTGAAGAACCGGGAGGCGAAGAAACACTGGGAGCGCAGAAGGGAGGCTAGAGAAAAAAAGAAGCCATCAGCGCTCATAAGGTCGATGCGGCCAAAGCGCAACCGCGGCGGAACGCTCCCGCCCCTTACCATCGCCTCGCCTTAGTTTAGGTATACCCGCTGCGAATTGGTCCCTTTGCACGAAGAAACGATTCTACCCATAAGTCAGTCGTGTGATCTGTGTTGAGGAGTTGTCGTGTTTCAGAAAGGTTGAGAAATCACTCACAGTATGCAAGATCGATCTTCAAGCCGTTGTCCATGAACACAGTGGTGGGAGTAGAAATATTCCGTACGGGTCGAATATGACGATTGTATCGAACGAAGATGTCGGCGAAAATCCGATGTGTTGTCGAATGGTAGTACGAACCTGGAACCAGAGTACTTCAGAGCTATGAGGGGAATTGAACATGCAGCACGACCCTCCCTCACCATCTTTAGTACAAGAAAGTTGAATTTCACCCATCTGCTCAAATTCCCATTGCCCACCTTTATTCTCAGGGACGATATGCCCGGTCTGAGAGGATACCATGGTGCAGTTCGCCTTGGTGAGGGCACCAAACGTTAATTAGCGAAGCTTGTACAAGTTACCATGTGAAGGCCTGTAATTTCATGTTACCAAAGTGGCCCCCTTGTACAATTCGCGACTTCACGAGAGTTTGCGGATCAGATGATCCCTACTAGGTAATGGGTTAATGGGAACT